GAGAGAGAAGGGCAGGGGTGTTCGGGGAGATTGCCGGGAAAGTTTATGAAATGAGGCCCTATGCGAGTGAGCGAGCGAGCGAGCGAGCAGACACAGGTGAGGGAGAGGTGTCTTTGCGAGTTTCAAAGCACTTTCACGGCCGTTGCGTCATTCAGTCCAGTCCCTTTGTTTTCCTGTGTTTGATCCTCTGAGAACTCTTGTACTGATCGTCATGACCCTCAGGTTGGGCTGAGTTCCTCAGGGTGGCTGGGTTCCACCCCCGCCAATGAATATAATTCTGAATGATTTTGTAATTATAAATTAATATATGTTCATTATAACACTCAGACAATGCATGAAACAGTAAAGAAGAAAGTAAAAATAATCCTACTACCCTGAGAAAATTAATTGTTCTTCTAGCAAGCAGATCTTTTTCCTTTGCTTCTTCAAAAAAAAATTTTTTTTTTAACATTAAAGGGATCTTCTGTGCATGCTATTTTCTCTTTGTGGATAACTAATGTGTATACACAGGACAGAGTGCACAAAGCTCAAATAGGTGGAAGTGTGGAGAAAGCACAGGGACCTTTAGTAAGTCTGCCTCTGGCTCTGCCTTCCCTGTGCTCTTCAGTTGATTGACCAAGAACGGTTATTGAGTGTCCCCTGCGTGCTGGACCCCAGGGGTGCAGAGGCAAGTAAGACAGGCAAACCCCCTGTCCTCAGCCTTCCCTTCCACGCTGCTTCGTTAGCTCTGTTTGTTCAAGACCTCAAACCGCAGCCTGGACACCAGCGAGGGAGATTGTCCAAGGTGTGTTTTGTGTCAGGCAATGGGAGTCACTGCATTCCTGGGCAGGAGGAGGCAGCGTTCTGGACAGACTTCCATCTACCCCATCCCGGGAAGGGCCTTGTTCTTCGAGGCATTGACAACTTGGAGCGTCCTTTGATCTTCCCAAGCCACGCCTTTGCCTAGCCTGAGAAGCGCATCCACTCGACCTGTGGACCCTTATGTGAGTCCGGGGCCTCCCTCTGGAGGGTGGTAGAGCCATTGCTGTCTGGCGAGAGGTTCTGCAGCGGGAGATATGGGGGGCGGGGGTGCCTCTGAGTCACTCCAGGGCTGGGGGTGAGCAGGAGCCCCCGCCCTGAGCCAGGGAGGGACTGCAGCCCCTCTCGTGAAGGCGCCTCGGTGGAGCTGCTGCTCAGAGGGTGCATCCCATTCATTCACGCCTGCATTTAACATTAGTGAGTGCCTGCTGTGTACCAGAAGCTCTGTAGGCACTGCCAGTGGAGAGATGAGCAAAACACTGTCCCTATTTTTCAGGAGGTGGGGGAAGATCAATAGGAGAGAAGTAATAAAATTAACACCGCCAAGAGCTACGGGGCACAGGGAGAAAACTTCACAGATGCAGTGACATTTCAGCTTAATCTTGACATATGGCCAGAAAGGAGGACAAAGGCCATTGCTGGAGGAAGCAAAGGCACCAAGTGCCCCTTCTTTATGTTTTTTGCAGAAAGGGAGGTGGACAAGAGGGAGGGGCAAAGGGCTGTACGGGGGAGTGGCAGGGGCCAGGCAGACCTGGTGTCTTTCCCTGCTGTTCCCACCATCCTTGCCTTCAACGAGTCCTCAGATACATACCACTCCCATCGTCTGACCTTTTCTTCTGCATCAGAAGCACACCTTTTAATTGCCCCAGATGTGAATTCATCCTGAGCTGTGGATGATGTATGAGGCCTAAAGAGACATCCCTCTCAAGGGGGGGATGTGCATTTGAACAGTTTTCAAAATTGTAAGCCAAAGGATCCCTGCTCTTATGGGTCTTTAGATGTCAGACATAGAGGATTGGAGGGGTGGGGGGAGCGTGGAAATGCGGTCTTCTCAGAACGTCCGTATTTCCAAACCCGTACCTTCGGATTCCAGCCTCCAGGCCTGAGGCGGCACCCTTCATCGAGGCCTCTTGAATTCTCAGCCATCCAGCCACCTGGCTAGTCACAGGAAGCCTGGCTCATGGGGCTGGGGGCCCAGAGCCTCTGTCCTGCCCCGAGTGCCCTGCAGTGGCAATGCAACGCCTTCCTGAGGCCAGCCCATGTTCCGTGACAAGCCCCATGTGTCTGCACCTGGACCTGAGGGCTGGGTGAGTGTAGGATCCTAGCAGGGAGCTATAGACTCAGCCTGGCCGACTAGGACAATGCAGGGGTATGAGTGGGAGTAAGGAGCCAGGGCCGCAGACAGGCTGCCACAGGCAGGGGGGCATTGCTGGGCAGAGGCCGTCTGTGCAGGTGGACAGCTGTCAGGACCAGTGTCGCCTACAGGTCAGCAACCAAGAGCTCATTTACTTTCAAGTCTCTGGTTATCACTTTGAGGTTTGCAGGGGAAGAAGCCTGAACCTTGAAACAATCAATGATTTCAGTCAGACCAACAAGAGCAAGTGACATCTGCAGCTTGAATGAGACTTGTGCACGTCCCCAGTTCTGCCTCCCAAGTCATGGGCTGGGCCCCTTGGTCGTGTTGAGCGGCTTTCTGAGCTTGTGTGGGGCCTTGCCAGCCATGATGAGCGCCTGCTGAGCCCCACACTTGGTCAACACTTTTGTTAGGACCAAGGACGGGTGCTGGTTTCACTCCACCTGCCCCCACCCTACCCTCCCGGGGACCGGCAGTGAGACCTGCCCTCGGTGTCAGGGTCTTGCAAACCCTGTGTTCCTGTGAGCACCGCTCTCAAGAGAGGTGTTCCGATCAAAGGGTTATATGGTGGCAGGAGTCTGGGAAGTTGGTGGGAAGTCAATGCGAAGCCGGTGCACCATCCCCAACGCCATTGGGGAGGCGGAGCTCACTGTACACAGTGGCATCAAAGGCTTTGAGAAGCCATGCTGCGCAAAGCCTGCTTCCCTTTCCTGGGCCCCAGTTTCTCTCATTTGTTTCATGGCAAGTTCTTAGGGCACTGGCATTTTGTGACCTGCGTCGCAGGAACACTGGCCCTAAATGCCTTCAGCTTCTGATGGCATTGGTCAGGGACCCGCGGTTGGGTTCTCAGTTCCCTTGCTGCGCCTGTCCCCTAGGCCTGGCCTCAGGAGGGGGCATGGGTCCACGGGCCACCTCTTCTGCCATGTTCCCATCTTCATTCTGCTCTTTGGGCCTGGGGAATTCTGGGAGCCAGGACAAGCTAGCCTATCAGGAGGGCATACGGGACTGCTGTGGTCCCTGGTCGGTCTGCACTCGTTCAGCGCTCTGGGTTAGATAGAGCCCATGGCGGGAGGAAGGAGGGTTACTGAGCCCTGTGGTCAGTGGGCAGTGGTGGCCCTGGACGAGCGTCGTGAGGGGTCTGACCTGAGAAGCGGGCGTGCAGGCTAGGTGGGCACCTGGGGTGTGTGTCTGCCGGCGTGGTGGGTGTGCAGGGGCCCAGCCTGGTGCCAGGGAGCCTGAAGGAGGGGGGCTAGGTGCGCCGAGGGACTTCCTATGCGGTGACACTGCCCTCTGGGAGGGTGTAAGTGACGGTGGGGCAGGGCGGGGGAGCTGCCTCTGAGATCCTCGAGCCCCATCCAGTGTTTAGATCTGATGGCTGAGCCCCACGAGGGGGTCCTGCATAAGGGTCGGAGGCGCATGGGAAGGAGGGATGGCCGGCTGCTGGAGAATGGGTTGTGGCTCAGGGACGCATGGGCGAGGGGGAGGAGATGGCCCTGCCAGCGAGAGTGGTGAGTGAGTACTTGTGTCTGAGACGCTGCCAGTCGTTGCAGCCCCTGCGACCTCCCGTTCTAGCACCAGGACCGCAGCAGCGGCCAGACCACCTCTGCCTGCCGATGATGCCCTGGTCCCCGCCCCTCCTCCAAGATGCCCTGAATACTCACTGGTGCTGATGTCACTGTGGGGGTGGGGAGCGTCATGTTAGGACCGACCCTCCTCCTGGCTCCCCAGGGAGGGCTCTAGGTCCTCATCTTACGCAGCCACTCTGGGTGCGTTGGGAGATAAAGAGAAAGGGATTCCCTCCACTTCACCAGATAAGCTACTCCTCTCTCCCACCTGGACTCCGGAGTCTGCTAGAGCCCAGGTTGCTCGGCGAGACCAGTGGCAACAGCTGGCTTGTGTCTGTCACAACAGTAGTTAAAGAATAAAATCCACCGTGCATAGTGACTCACCTCGGGAGCTGGCAGTTCCCTCTGTCATTTGCTCACAGTCCCCGCTCCTGCCTCCCCTGGGCTTGTGGCACAACCTTTCTGCAGGAGTCAGCATGCTGGCGCTGGAGTCATAATGGTGTTTTCTCAAAAAGGCTCAGGGAGCTCCCTCACCTGTCTTCAGAAAAATGCAGCAGGAAAAAGTGCCTGAATGCATTGTCCCTTCCCTTGTTGTTTGGTTTCAGAAGGCCCGGCTCTGCTGTCATGTTGCGTCTGTTTTCTGTGGTTGTATAGAAGTTGAGGAGAGAACGGTGGAGGCGGGGGGCAAAGCAAGCTCCTCCTGGCCCCTTTAGATATTTGTCTGATTCAGATATTAAGTTGAAGGGAGCTCACGTGGACAGAATTGGTCCTTTTCCAAGAGCTTTTCCACTCAGGTGAGCAGAGGTATGGGGTGGGGGTGGGAACCCCAGCCGTGGTTCCCAGAGACGGCAGCAGCCAGCCACAGCTGTGTCCTTGCTGAGGCATCAGCTAGTCCAGCGGTTTGAAGACTGGGAAGGCAAGGGGTCTGAGATGGCGTCAGTGACTCTTCCTCCCTTCTTTCCTTCCCTTTTCAGCCCTAGTTATCTCCTGAATAAGTCCTTGAGTTCTCTGAGGACCTGGAGTGTCTACCATATGTCTAACTGTACTATTTATTGGCTCCATTTTTTTTTTCTTGGAAAAGATGCTTCATGATGAGAGCCCAATCAGAAATGATTGTAATTTCCCGGGCTAAGGACCATCCGCCGTCCTGTGTGTGAGAATCAATCGCTGTGCAGGCTGCACAGTCACAACGGGCGTTGATACAGTTGTGAGTTGATGTGCACAGTCATCTAGGGGCTGCGTCCCTCTCTCGGTGAATCTGTTCCTTAACTCCTCCTCCCCACGCCCTTTGAGTACATGATCCTGGCCACCATCATCGCCAACTGCATCGTCCTGGCCCTGGAGCAGCATCTTCCTGAGGACGACAAGACCCCGATGTCCCGCAGGCTGGTAGGTGCCTCCCTCCTGTCACCTTTCTTTCCCTGTCCTCTTCCCTGGTTCCTGTCTCCTTTGCTTCATCACCTGGCCCCTCTCCCTCCTCCCTGCCCTACAGTATAATATGAGGAGCCCCACTGGGACACGTAAGACAAGGGGACTGACCTTTCTCACTCCTGCTCCCAGGAAGCTCTGAGGGAGTCACCAGTGCTGTGTAGCCCGCCAGGAAGAACAGGCCAGCACAGGGTCCGCTTTCTTCTTTCCTAAGGGACTTCTGAAGTGGGAGGAGACAGGAAGCTGAAGGGGAGAGGATGAAGGATGCTCAAAGCCTGTGTGCATTCACGGGGGTGAGCTTCCTAAATGTTACGTCCATATTCTCCTTAAAAAATGGCTCACCTGTCTAGTGTATCCCCCTAAAGACAGCAAACAAATAGTTTTAAATTCAGATGTGTGGGTCAGCGTCTCCCGCCTCATTACCTGTAGATGTGAACCCTTAAGCATTTAACCGAAGTGAAGGCCGGCCGTGGGAAAGCCATGCCTTCAGGGCAAAGCCAGCACTGGGGGTCATCTCCACAGGAAGCGGTCGGTCCTGGGTGTGACCCCACATCCACCCGTCTCTGCAGTCGACCCCCAGGCCCCCCTTGCCCCCTCGCTCCATGAGTCCTCCAGCCCCCTCATTTTCCACCTGTGTCTGGGGCAGACATCTTGGTGTCCCATGGGAGCGAGGAGAGGTCGGAGCGGAGGGGTGGCTGGGGAGCGCCTTGCCTGCCTCTCGCGAAGCACAGCCCCCCTGACTGGCGCCTCTGCTCCTTGTCCCACAGGAAAAGACGGAGCCGTATTTCATTGGGATCTTTTGCTTTGAAGCTGGGATCAAAATCGTGGCCCTGGGGTTCATCTTCCATAAGGGCTCGTACCTCCGCAATGGCTGGAACGTCATGGACTTCATCGTGGTTCTCAGCGGGTGAGTCCTCTTCTGGTCTTTTCTTTGTGTGTTGTGGGGGAGGGGCTGTGGCGTTCTCAAGTGACTCATTGTGCATCCAGGATAGAGAGACGGTTGAAAAAGTTCAAGGATGAAATTCCTCCACGGGGCTGGACCATTGGTGACCCTTCTGCGGGGGAGGGTGGGTCCTCTGTGGAGACGCATGTGCCACTCTGGGGAAGCCTGTGACACAGGGTCTGGCTGCTGTTGCTTCGGGTTTCCCATCCGTGCTTGGCTAGTGCCGAACATGTGTCCTGCTGGTCTCAGCTGGAGGGGCGCCCCCAAAAGATGGGCCAGAATGTGCCATCAGGTGCAGTTTTCGTTCAGAGTTTTGGAGATGACTCAGATCATGTCCTCTAAACAGATAATTGAGACTTGTGTTCTGATGACAAAATTCTTCAGGATTTGCAGATTAACCGACACGAGGAGGCATGCAACTGAATCCCACTGAAATGCTGGATATATCATTCCTTTGGAAATTAATACAGCGATAGCACATTGCAGCTGACCCAGTGTCACAGGCAGCGCATTTATTTAAATCCCTGACAGGTCACCCTTTCTGTTGGAAGTGAATAGGGCTGCCTGCATTGGGCCTGCGCCAGCGCCGTTGGCAGCTTATGTGATGGGCCTGGGGACTGGTGGCGATGGCCATGCCTCCTGGGGCTTTTGTGACTGCCTGTTGGTCTTTGTGTCAGGTGATTCTTGGTGCCCACAGGGGCTGTGGGAGCCCGGCCCTTGGGGGAGCCTGTGTGCTGTGTGGGTGCGGCAGCAAGAGGTGGGGTGTGGACGTCCTGTCCTCCCAGGCAGCGGTTCACGCCTGTGAGGGAAAGAGCAGAGCGGAGCGGGAAAGGAGGGAGAGGAGAAATAGGAGCCGCCATTGTAACTGACCAAAGGGGAGGCGGGCGAAGTAGACATTTCTTCCAGGGAATCGCCAGAGGGTGAGGGTAGGTAAAGTTTGAGAAGAGTACGAGCTTGGGAACGTTCGCATGTATGTATTCATCGTCTCCCAGAATGGACATAATACTTGTATTTTTAACCTTCACACCAGTTGTGATAAAGTGAGCAAGTTGAAGGTGTAATGAACTGGAATTTACAAAGGGAAGTTCATAGACAGCCCGTTCCTCAATATGGGAACAGATTTAACAGGTAGAAGAGATTATTTATGTTGAAAACCACCTGTGTCCTTACAGAAGGATTTTCTGCAGGTTATTTGTCTGAATGAAAATTCTACTGCATTTTAAACATGAATATGAAGTGTATAAGGATATGATTTATATGTAGTTTCAGAAGTACATGGTCAGGGAAAATGCAGCACACCTGGGCGATGTTTTATTATTTTTCCAGCTCTTTTGGGGTGTGACTGACAAACAAAAATGGTATATAAAGTGTACTGTGTGGTGTTTTCATATGGGTGTACATTCTGAGATGATTACCACAGTCAAACTAATTAACGTATCTATTGCCTCGCCCAGTTACCTTTATCTGTGTGTGTGTGGTGAGAACACTTGCTATCACTCTCAGCAAATTTCCAGTGGGAAATACATGATTGATACCTATGGCACAGTGCTGAATATTATTAGGTCTCCAGAAGGTATTCGTCTGTAGATGAGAGTTTATGCCCTCTGATCCGTATCTCCTGCTTTCCCCACCCTCCAGCCCCTGGTAACCACCATTCTTTTCTCTGTTACTATGTTTGATTTTTTTCTATTCCACATAAAAGTGAGATCACACAGAATTTGTCTTTCGTGTCCGGCTTATTTCGCTGAGTGTAATGTCCTCTAGGTTCACCCATGTTGTCGCCAATGGCAGGACTGACTTCTCTTTTAGGACTAGTATTTCATTGTGTATGCACTATATATAATATACACGCACGCACGCACGCACGCACAATATCACGTACTTTATCCGTTCATCTGTTCACCGACACGTAGGTTGTTTCGGTAGCTTGGTCGCTGCGCGTAATGCTGAGCTGTGTATGGGAGTGCAGATGAATCTTTTCAAGAGAGTGATTTTATTTCCTCCAGGTGGGTACCCAGACGTGGAGCTGCTGGGCTGTGTGGGAGCTCCATTTTTCACTTTTTGAGGAACCTCATCACTGTTTTCCACAGTGGCCGCACCTGTTTATGTCCCCACCGATGGTCCACTAGGGTTCCCTTTTCTCCACATCATCGCCAGCACGTATTTTTTGCTTTTTGATAATAACTGTGTGATAATTTAAATGTCTCTAAAACCAATAATGTTTGCTATATAATGAAAGGCATAAATGAGAATCTGAGCCATTTAGAAGTGTGGTTCTGTCCAGAGGAAGAGCAGCATGTGAACCAACCCTTGGTTGCCTTAAGTGCTATATGTGTGAGACGCCAGGGGAAGTTTTCCATCTCGTCTGTTTATTTTTACTTTAAACTATTATATGTTCATTAAAGAAAAATATGGAAAATAGAGAAAAGTCAGAAAAAAAAAAACCAGTTCCCTGATTAAGAAAAAGTCCTTAAGAAATATTTTGTGATATTTCTTTCCAGCCCTTTAATGCTAAGCAAGCTCTCTTCGGTGCTTGAAATTTTGCTGCCTGTTCTCAATATAGTAAGAGCATAGTGTACATTTTGTTATATATTGCTCCATATTTTGGTTAAAATCCGCACTGAGTGATCAGCAGTTTGTTCAATAGATATGCACAGCTTACTTCTCCATTTTTGCAACCGTTTGACACTTAGATTGCTTTCCGTTTTGGACCATTATAAATAATTATCCAAGATGTTCCAATGGACATTGTTGGAATGTCCCATTTTGAGAGGCGTTGTGACAGGTCGAAGTGCTCCCACAGGGGAACCTGCCGTCTGGCACTGGGTCTGGGAGCTGGGCTGGGGGGGGCGCCGAGGTGGAGGACTGGCCCCCTGGCAGGGCGAGAGCAGAGAGGCGGGAGCCCAGCGCGACCTTCAGGTACGGATTCCCGCGGTTGCCGGAGTGAGTTTGTGGGGGTCAGCGGGGTCCTCCGTCAGCCTGGCCGAGGGGGCCCTCTACGTCCCCACCTGCACGCCGGGGGCGCAGATGCTGAGTCCCTGGCCAAGTCACTCGTCCCCCCTGCTCTCTCTCTACCCAGCCCTCGCGTCCCCTGTTGTTAGTGCTCATCACTGCTGTCCATCTGGGCCGACAGGACTTTGCCCCATTCTTCCTGCACCTCCTGACTTTTTTCTCTCCTTAATTCACACGGGAAGGGGCTCCAGGGAAAAGGCTTGGCGTCTTGAGATGGGCGCTGCGGGCTGTGGCTCTGCCCTGTGGGACTGGACCATCGACTCAGTCTTATATCCGCGTGGAGCTGCCTCCTTCCAGATTGCCTCACTTTTCAAATGCACGTTTCTCACGCTGGAGTGTCTCTACGATCAGTCTGTGCCTTACGATAATGGCGTGACAGAGTTTAACGGGCAGCGTTTCTATTTCTTCCTTCCACCCCGAGGGGTGGCGCCTCAGATCCCCGGGCACTGTACAACAGTTGGGGTCTGGAATCTTTTGTGATACCGACCCAGGGAGGTGGCAGAGCAGGCTTCGGAGATGAGTCACCTGGTGCTGGGAGAGGTGGAGTGCTCAGCCCAAGGGCCCCTGCCTCTTGACAGAGGTCCCGGGGTTGGTGCTGTGCCCTCTGGCCCTGGCTGGGGCTTTCACCCCTGCCCTGTGCACCCCCCCCAGGCTTCCTGGCACCCGCCCCCACAGCTGTCCCTGCTGGCAGCTCCTCCTCCCCACCTCAGCTCCAGGTGTCACCTCACATTTTCCTTCTGTGCACAAGAGGAGTGACAGGTGCGGGAGCCCAACCAGCACCTCGCGCCGCATCTGCGCACTTCTCAGCTCTTGTGTGACCGGAGGGGAGGGAGGAGGGGCTGCGGAGGAGTCAGGGACAGCTGGCTCAGTGAAAGGCCTCTGTCACTGACCTTTGCTAAGAGGTGGGGGCGGGCCACCGCATTTGGCCTTCACCTCTGACCTTCTAATCTTTAGTGTTCTTAGGTCTGTAAGTTGTGGGAGTTCATGGTGTGCAAGTTGATTTATGTATATAAACTATTCATCCAAATCCTCATAATCCCCCAGATGGGATCCTATTATTTTATAGGTGAAGAAACGGAAATGAAGTTCAGACAGGGCTGGTGACCCACCAGCAGGCGCGCGCTCCGGGGCTGGAGCCCGTGGCTGCCGGTTCAAGCCCCCTCTTCAGCACTCATTGTCCCACACCGTCGGTCACTCCACAGCATTCTGGGCTTTGTACTTCTGTAGCTCCTTGGTGGCAGTTCCTTCGTCCCCGCCCCCTGCCCTGATGGGGGGTGGGCTCCGGGGCAGGGGCCGGGGGGCGGGGGGGCCCAATCAGGCAGCTGTCCCTGACCCAAAGCGGAGGCTTCACATGTGACTTGGAGAGGACCAGAGCCCCATGTCTCCGTCCTCAGACGTCTCTCTGTGGGCTGGGAGTAAAACTTTCTGGTCTGTAGTTGATCAAGAGGGCCCATGACTCTCGTGGCTTAATACATAAAGACGGATCATAAGTTCCAGCTTATTTCTTCATTAATTGGCTTGTTCATTCATTCATTGATCCATCTATCCATTCATTTATTTAACAAAACTTGTACTGTTGACTACTCAAACAGCTGCTGGGACCGAGACATACCTAAGTTCATGTGTTCTCATTTCTTCTAAAAAAGACAGTGGAATTTGCCATTTAAAAAAAAAAACACACAAACTGTTGGCTTATGTAACTTGCAGTCTTCTCTTGTATTGGTAACAGTTCAGGGAGGTGCTGTTTCTAAATATTTGTCACACCACCTGGAGAATTCAAAATAACATTAAGTCATTGTTACATATTAGTTTTAATAATAAGTCCCAGTGCCTGGAATAGATGGGCGAATGACAGGGGCGGCGGGGTGGGGGCGCAAAGGCGCTGCCTAGCCACAGGTGAGAACAGGAAAGGGGGCCCGGCACCTGGATCCCAGCAGGTACTTACTAAATGC